TGTGGTTGTGTACATGCATGCAGTACAGCTGCTCATATGCTTAACATTAAGCACATGTTTCTCAGGGTCTAAGAAAAAAATTAAGAAAATCACTACCATTAAATATATGTGTAATCTAATGTGGCAGCAAATACCTTCTACTTGCATGGTAAAATTCATCCCTGTGCAGAGAATTCATACGAAATCTGTGCACTGTGACCTCAAAATGTTGGTTAAATGGAGCATAGGCCTTGTTCTGCTGGTTCTCTGCATGGGAGGGAATTTTGCCTAGATAGCGGTTCTGCTTTAAAGAGTGACTGTACAAATGTCACTTTTTATTATTCAGCAGGTTTGTTCCTTGTCTGAACTCTAAAGATTTATCTACTTTCTTACAAAAACAAGATGTTTTTTCTCCTACTAGCACTGCAGAGCTAACACAGCTGTGAGGCCTCTGTTCAGGAGCTCACTTAAATACATCCTGAAGTCCATCCCTCTATAGCAAAGCACTTAAACACATACGTTTAAGTGGATTTTACTCCTTGTGCATCAACAGACTTCTACTCTAAATTCTCCAATGGGAGACAATGGGTTTTGCACATTGGTTACTGAAGGCATAATTTGAAGACAGCAGATTTCTACAGGCATATGTAGAGACCTCATTTGACCAGCAGAATCTTTATTTCTTGTTGGGGTGCAAAAGAAAAGACAATTGCAGCAGGGCTCTTTGAACCCAGGTTGAGTTTTCAGGACTTTCTAGGTTTACTTGTGTCTGCAACAGCACAGGGGACTGGATTTAATGACTTCTCGAGGTCCCTTACAGTCCTCCATTGCAATGATTCTATGAAATGGAAATCATTGTGAGGAACACAGAATGGCACAAAGCCATCTCAGTCACTTTTCAAAGCAGAACTATGGTTTAAGGGTGGGAATTTCAAAATTGTTCTGCATTTGGTCAAATTCTGCCCTCTGATGTCAATGGGAGTTTTAGCACTGAATTCATTAGGAACAGTTTAGGTCAACATGATGTGCTTTGAAAATCCTAATCCTTTGCAGAATGATATCACGTCATCTTAATGTGCCCTCCCTAAATAAGAGAGAGATGTATTTAAAACAAATAAACAAAAATACAATTTGTTTTGGCTTTACTGTAGTTTAAATAAAAGGGGTGGGTGGGAAGCTTTTGGTAAGGAGTAGAAAAGCAATGGCTAATGGTGTGTCCAGCCTCTAAGGGGAACTCTGCTCACAGCAGCAGTACAAGGACAGAAATGTTTTTTACTGTACAAGTGGGACCATGTTACTCTCTGCTTATCTAATGTAGTTGTTTGCATTTACCTTTCTCGTCCTTTTGAAATGAACAACGTGGGAGATACATTCTTGGTGTTAAATGTTGCTCTTACTGTTTTTACACACTGATCTTCTGATGGCTATATTTGCTGACACTCTTTTAGATCATATTTTTGTTTAAAATGTTATCTTTTTCCAGTTTGGGGGAAACCAGGGCTATGTCTACACAATGGAGATATCCTGGAAAAACTCAGCCGCGTCCAGGGAACGCATCTGCTCTTCCAAATTTTTTTTCAGAAGAGCAGACATGCTCTTTCGGAAGCCCTGTATTCCTCATTTTAGGAGGAATAAGGGCTCTTCTGAAAGAGGAGGTTTTCCCAACATTTGGCCCCATGTAGACAGGACAAATGTCAGAAAAGCCTCTTCTGAAAAAAGAATCAGAAAAATGTACACAAATTGTGGTTTGCAATTTGTGTACCTTTTTCCAAAAAAACCCCCAGCACTGTAGACATAGCCTAGGTGTTTATCTCACCATATTTTTTTAATGGTTTTCCTATTCTCAATAGAAACAATTTTTAAAGCTCACCTTGTATAGTATTTTGGGCTTCCCACATAAGTCTTCGGAGGAAAAATCACCTGCCTGGAACACAATTTTTTTTGCATAAATTTTCTTCATAATACAAAACAACAACCAATCAGAGTATTAGAAAAACACTTATATTCATTTGATTTTAATACTTTCCACTGATAACATTCTTTGCAATGAATGGAACACTTTATGGGCCTGATTTTCAGAGTTTCTGAACATCCACAGCATCCACTGAACCTGTTCCATTATGCACCAATGTCACCAGCAGTCTCTTCATTAAACAAGCACTGGATCTGCTCATTAACCTGCACTGAAGTACTGGGTGCTCAGCACTTCAGAAAATCAAGCCCTTCCTATATAAACAATCACTCTCTATGCCTGATTATTTTTTACTCTGGCATCACTCCCACTGACTGCACGATTAGCCTTTTTATAGGGCTCCGTCTCAGAGCTAAATATATACAGGTAGACCCTATCTAGTCTGGCACCCTTGGGACCTGACTGGTGTTGAACCAGACAATTTACTGAACTATGGGAGGTCAATATTGTAGTGAGTGGATGTCTCTATTTTTATCTCGCCAAGGTGAAGTAATGGAACAACACTTGCAATGATGCTTAATAATGTATGACTGTACTGATATTCTCCATATAAGCCTATGCCTAACCAAGGCTTATTAGCTCTCTTCATGACAAAACTTTGGTGTTCTTACACAATTTTACTATATTGGCACAAAGAAATAAGTAAAGTATAAAAAACATACTTAGGCTTAGCATCATCATCAGCGCTTCCACTTTTTACTGGGCTCTTAGAAGACATTTTGCAGTAAATTAGAGCTAAATAACAGCACAGAACACTGAAAGCCAGGACTGGTGGCTGTAAACAAACTTGATCGGACCGCAGGAAACTTGGCCACACCCACAATAAATGGGTATTCAGCTAACTAAAATCATGCCAGACTACGGAAGTTGCCAGACCAGAGAGTGCCAGATTAGAGAGAGTCAATCTGTACTATAAATAAGCAGATATGGGAGAGAAAAAGAGCAAATGTGAGGTGGGTTTTATGGCAGAAGATAGTTATACTTAAATACAGAGACATGTTCCTATAAATATTTGAGTATAGTGAATGAGTTACCTGTATGCTCTCTTAAAAGTCACATCAAAATGTAGCATTTCAGATTAATTTCCCGTCTGAATACGCATTTCATGTGCTTTTTAATAACATGACTTAAATATCTAAATTATACTTTAAGCAGGATATGCTTGAAGTAAAACATTATTTCAAATCCAGAAATTGACAAATATTCCCTATTCTATACCTGAACCTCTCACTTGTACTTCTTCAGAAAAAGTAATTTAATGTACAGTCACACAGGTGGTTAACATTACAATTTACTGGAAAACAATGTGAAAGAATTTGAAGAAAACTGCACAGAGAATGGCAGTACTTTGAACTGCTCTGATAAGTGAAATGATAGGAAGAGAGGGGGAAAAGTGTTGTTGACAGATATGCAGTGTGGAGGAGCTGACAGCCTATGTAGGAGACTGTAGACAGGAAAATCATGTAAAGTGGTACATACTGTATCTCAAATATAGGCCTTGATTCAGGAAAGCATGTGTTAAACACATGCTAACAAGATTTCTTGTTACAAGTCTTTATTTATAGCAATTATATGTTATCACTTATATTAATGCTACAGACCAATTAAGAAATGTTATGGAAGAGTTCTGTTTCAACTTGGAAAGGTACTCTTGTTACCTGCATTAGGCGTGATGAACTGTCCATTTTCCTCTACATGATGATAATGCCTTCAGGATGTGTTCAACTGTTTTTTTTTTAGCATGAATAAATGAATCTTTTGGTTCAGAGTTTTTCAAAATTAACACTATTAAGAGTCATGTATGCACTTAAAGCAAGAGCATGCTCCCTTTAATATCAATGCAGACTACATTATTATTTATATTAAGTGGGTCCTACATTTTGAATAGCTCTGTGCCTTTTTTTCTGCACCGTTTGTATTACTTTTAAATAGAAGGCTTTTTGTATCATGTCCTACATTTTGGACATAAATGTAACCTGTTTTACCACACCATGATATGAAACTGTATATCATTTCATACGCTGAACATACACTTTGGCCTAATTCTGATCTTACACCAGTGTAAATGCAGAATAATTCAACTACTGTCAATATATTTACACCGGACTTAAGAAAATTTGAATATCCATTGTGTTTCTATACATAACACAGACTACATATTTCTATATCTAGAAAACTAGAAGATTTTCCTGGCATTGCTTAGATCCTTAACTCAATTAATTTTTGTTTTTTGGAAAACAAAATGCTGGGGCTGGGGATGAGGCGTTTGGTATGCAGGCTGCCCTGGGGAGAGAGGAGAACCCCCCCCCCCACACACACACACTCTCTTTCCCCCCAGCAACTTGGAGCCAGGTGAGAAACATCTCTCCATGGCCACTGCAGCTCCAGAAGGCACAGCCAGAGAAGGGGTGCTGCTTGTCTTTCTCAATTGGGGCAGGTCCGGGTTTGTCTGCCCTCTGAGCTTCCCAGACAGAGTGAGGAGTGCAGCAAACCGTGCACTTTCACCTGGGAGAACTGCCAGAAATGTTCCCGTGTGAATCAAAGGGGGGAGCTTCCATTCTCCCTGCCCTTCTTAAAAGACACCTTGGGTGGAAGAGGGGAGAGGGTGGCTTGGGGCAGTCCTGAAAAGGGGGCACCTCAAGCCAGCCCCTATCACCTGCCTGGTGATTGTCTCTCTTCTGTATAGTTTTATGAGAAGCAGTTCCATTCCAGGTATATCCCATTTTCTTGGTACAACCAAACCCTTGCTTTTAAGTTATGATACGAGGAAGGCGCATACCAAATTTGGTTATGAGGAATCCTTGAACAGATGGACAGACAAACTCACTCACTCACTCATAGACAAATTCTCTCAAATATATAGTAGATGTATATGGCATTAATTAAATAAAGTGTACATAACATGTATATGAGTATGGTATGTAACGTGTGTGTGTGTGTATGTAATGCGTACTATAAGCATGTTTTATAATGCATGGAGTGCATATCTATATATTAAGCAAAATAGTTTATATATTAATGCAATTTATTCATTTTAAAAATTACTCACCTTCTCAATTTTTCAGTTACTTTTTCAAGTTCTTCCTGAGCACGTCTCAATTCAATTTCAAGGTACTGGCGTGTAGAATCAAATTCTGTTTCAAGCATTTCCAGTTTGTGGGTAGTGTAGGATAGGCGCTTCCGTAATTCCCCCTTCTGTTCTTGCAAAGTACTGGAAGAATAAACACTGGAGCTATAGCATTTAGAAGTTCTGGAAGAATATTTAATGATCCACTATTTTTAAGTGGCCTCATTATTCATATTTCCCCAAAAATACAGATTTGTAGTGAGAAAGAGAACAGTACTTATTCATTTACCAATTTTGGTGGTAGTTTTGTTTTAAATTATCATGTTGACAATATCTGTACATCCACCCTTTTTTTGTAGGACACCCATTACTGGTATCCAAATGCCATCATAGGACGTTTTGTAGAAGCATTTTCAAAATATAACACACTTTAAAATACATGAAAACCATTTTTTTTCTGTTTCTTTTATTTGGAAATGATCTAAAAATGCTTTGTGCTATGTAGAAACAGCCTCAATTCTCAAACTATATAATAATAATTAATAATTTGGCTTTATCTGTTTAGATTATCTACTCTTCAAGTCAGGGACTGTCTCTAACTTTGTCTGTAAAGTGTATAGCAAAATAAGGTCCTGATACAAAGATGGACTCCCCAGCTGCTAGTGTAATGTAACAATAGTACAGACTCTGATAGGACTTCATTGCAGCTTTGAGTATAAGCTCAGGTCCTGATCTGGAACTTGAATCCACTATGACATAGTGGCAGAAGTGCTAGCATGTAAATCACACTGTCATCATAACAGAGCGGCTTGCCCCTTTCAGAGCCCAGAGTTCTTAGGCCAGTGAGCCCTACCCTGCTATATCTGACTGCACTAGATGTTGGACTTAAGAAAAAGGAAGCCCAGCAGTGGAGAATTGTCTGGAGAACAGAGCAGATGGCAAGCAGCAGCCAGTGGAAGATTCCAAGTAGAGAAGCCTAGGAGTGGCTCCTCAAGAAAGAACAGGGAGCAAACTAAACACACCTGCAGGGGGAGTGGTGGGAGGGGGGATTGAGAGGGGAGTTGGTAAGCAGCCTAGGAAGGACAAAAACTGAGCAAAGAGATTGGGCAGAAAAGAGAGAAAACAGACCCTTTGGGAAGGATTGTTTGAAACAAGGGGAATTATTTTGAGTTTTGATAGCTGGTGGGTCACTGCAGCCAGCTAATTCAACAGCTGGAGTAGGCCAAAACTCAGTGTGGGGAAACAGAGGTGGAAGTGCTGAGATGCTGGGCCTTGCCATGTGGGTGTGCTCTAGAACAGTGAGCCTTGTATTATCACCATACTTACTTTTAATATATGTTAAATATGACACTTCCTAAAATTAGGCTTGACTTCCAATTCCTTTAATGTCAACGGCAGAACTATCAATGTCAAAGGAACAAGATTTTGAATGTAAATACAGCTTATGCCTGTAACACGATCCAATGTGCAGGGGCCTGATAATGTCAAGGGGCAAAATACCACTGACTAAATGCCACCTATAGTATTACCAGTTTCAAGAGAACAAAATCACCCAAAATCATAAGACTGGGGCTTACATTTTTGATTTAATAATCAGTTAATATTTTAAGCTGTTTTTTGACTTTAACTCCCCTCTAGTCCTATGTCAATGTGTCTGACATGATTGAAAAGTCTACCTTAAACGCACACACAAATGTATCTCCCTGGCTGCTCAGATGGAGATTCCATTCATCCAGTCCTCACTCATAAGTGATAATGTCTCAGTAGAGAGATAAGATGGGTGACATAATATCTGTTACTGGACCAACTTCTGTTGGTGAGAGAGAGGGGAGATTTTGAGCTTACACAGAACTCTGCTTTAGGCCCCACTGTTAGCCTGTAGTTGACTCCTATTTCAAGGCACCATTCAAAGTGAAGTGACCCATTAACAACCTCCCAGTCATGGGGGGAGAGGGGAAGGAAAGGAGGGGCTGGAATCATGGAATCAGAATACTAGAACTGGAAGGGGCCTCGAGAGATCATCAAGTCCAGTCCCCTGCCCTCACGGCAGGACCAAACACCAAAACGATCATCCCTGATAGATGTTTAATAGAAAGGAAATGAGAAGAGGAGCTGTGTAAGTGATAAACCCAGTATCTCTCTTTAGTCCATGATTTTTAGTGTTTAGCAAGTTATGAACTTAAGCTCCCAGGCTCTTATTTTGAAAGGATTGTTGCAGGTTTCCTTGAGGATGGGACTGATAAGTCAGATACAGAGTGATCGTTTTGAGAATCATGCTGATATGGTGCTTAACCATACTGTGGGACTGGGTCAGCATTTGCAAGAAATAATAATTCCCTGAATCTTCCTCCTATTATTTCTCTTCCCAAGACGGAGCAGTGCTCCTATCTCCCACTTCTCTGAACCCACACACTTGGTCCCTATTCCTCCCTCCTTCCCCTCACATCCCCTGCAACTCATTCCCCTGTAACTCCTAGATTGCCTCCTCTTCTCTCGGGCCCATCTTCTTTCATTTGTTCCATTCACCTTTGACAGTGTCTGTGCTGCTCCTCAGAGTCTGTGTCCTGTCAAACCCTCCTGAACCAAGAGGCAGCCATGCTGACTGTGATTGTGTCTTCACTCTCACTGAAAACAGTGGGAGGTGGCAGCCATCTTTATTAAGTGCAGCCTCACTTCCACAAACACCATATCGAATCAAAGGAAATTCATGAGTCGATGCCTTTCATCATGTTTTCATGACATAGGTAAAATCCATCCCAGCATTGCTGGGGTGAAGATAAAATTGTGAGTTGGCAATACTGCACTTATTTGACTTGACTTTAATATGCTGGCTCTCGCTGGCATTTCTTCTTTTTGTTACAAAAATAACCGAGGTATATTAAAGGAGAAACGAATCAAAGGAAATTCATGAGTCGATGCCTTTCATCATGTTTTCATGACATAGGTAAAATCCATCCCAGCATTGCTGGGGTGAAGATAAAATTGTGAGTTGGCAATACTGCACTTATTTGACTTGACTTTAATATGCTGGCTCTCGCTGGCATTTCTTCTTTTTGTTACAAAAATAACCGAGGTATATTAAAGGAGAAAAGCTTTCAAAAACCCTGCTTGCTGCAACAGAGTAACCTACATCTTGGAACTAACCTAATGTTTTGCCAACATGGTGTTCTATTTTTATTACATTTTTTGCATGATTACAGTTGTACTTGGCTTATCATGAGTAATTACACTATTTTAAAAATAATATATCCTAATTCAGGCAACAAATGCTTCTCTGCTTAACAGAGTCATCTGGATTTCTATTTTTCCTCTTCTTCCTGAAGGATGAATCAGGATCTTGAAGGAACTATAAACTGAATATATGCCTGAATTGAAAGTGCATAGTGAATCTTTCCATGGACTTCAGTGCATTTTGCAACAGATACCTAGTGGATGTTTATAGGGGGAAAAAAATCCATACACCAGTTCCTCAAAGGCATGATGAGCATACCCTCTTAATGCTAGAGAACACTGTGTTTTAATTCAGGATTTATTTACATGCATTCATAGTTCTTCATTGCATGGTATATATTCTTTATTTATAATTAGCAAAAACCAGGAAAATTAATTGGGTAGGAAAAATAATTTAATGGACCTATTACCCTCTTACACACTCCTTACATTAAAGCATCTAGAAAAAGATGAAAAATCAAGAGGCAGGAAAGACACATTTGCTAACAACTTCAAAGGCCATGGCCACGTTTATACTTAAAAATGATGTTGACCTAAGTTAGCTAAGCATACAGCTGCTGCCAGTACACTGTCTTCAGCCCCTCAAAACCCCAGGCTCAGGCGTTTTGAAGCATCGGTGCTGCAAGGAGCTGACCCGGGGTTATATGCAGTACTGCCCCTATGAAACTCCGCGGCAGCATTTCAAAGAGCAGTGCCGCATGGAGCCTGGGTTCAGCTAGAGACTCCCTAGCTGACCCCGGGCTCCCTGCGGCATTTCCCTAGCTGATGGCTAGCTGGCCCCGGGTTCTGGGGAAATGCCATGCAGAATCTGAGATTAGTCCCCATCTGACCCCAGGCTCCACATGGCATTTCCATGGAGCCTGGTATTGAGATTAGTCCCCATCTGACCCCAGGCTCCGCATGGCATTTCCATGGAGCTTGGTATTAGTCCCCAGCTGACCCTTGACTCCATGTGGCATTTCAAAGAGGTAGCGCAGCATGGAGCCCAGGGTCAGTGGGGTACTCTGAGTCCCCTGTTGATCCTAGGCTCCATGAGGGTGCTTCCACTTTGAAATGCACAAGCGCCCCTGTTGGGGACTCTTATACATTTCAAAGCTGGCATGCCATGTGCAGCCTGGGACCAGCGGGAAGTCCCGCTGATTCTGGGCTCCACGCGGGTGCTTCTACTTTGAAGTGCGCAAGAGCCCCTCTGTGTACTCTTGTGCATTTCAAAAGGTAAGTGCCCTTGTGGAACCCAGAGTCAGCAGGACTTCCCGCTGGCCCCAGGTTGCAGACAGAGATCCACATTCCTCCTTTGAAATATATAAGAGCCACAGTGGGGGCTCTTGTACATTTTGAAGGAGGAATGTGGAAGTGCCTATTGACTCATTGAGTAGTCAATGGAAATTTTATCAACTAGTTGACTAGTAAATTACCCACTAGTTAACCTCCTTAGTGCACACTTAGCTCCTTGAATTGTCAGTGTGTGTATATTTGTGGTATACGAGGTGTATTTGTCAGTGCAGAATGCAGTACAGCAGAGGTAGGTATCCCACTATGCAACTTGCCACATTCCAGTGCAGGATCTTTTGGGAATTTCTAGCAATACTGGATGGGTCAAAAACTAGTTGTGCAAGGGAGACTAGGAACATGGTTCAGTTTCCCAAAATACGGTGTTCTCCATCCCATAATTTCATCCATAGCCCATAATATTTCATGCCTTATTTTGAAAGTCTCACAAACCTACATGTCCCTCTTCATAGTCCACCATTGCTGTGAATGTTGCAAGCACTGGGCACCTGATCCTACAGTATTTGCAGAGCCACAAAAGGAACTCCAAGAAATATAATGATTCCTTGGAGGAGAGATTGTAGTAGGTCATAGAAAGAAACAATTCAATGGCATTCATGTAGCAGCTGGACATGGGGGAGCAC